ATAGAGCAAAATTGGAGAAACTAAGTCCATCACCCGCTTCTAAACCTTGAGGCTAATTCAAAAAATAAAGGAAAATTGTGAAGAATAGGAAAGATCGATGATTTTATTCGCACTAAACATTAAGATTGTAAGACAAACACGATTGATGCGTGCAATCGTGGCGTTAGTGCGCAAGTCATCATTGATTATAGGTGATCAAAATTATGTCGAAGTGTAGATCAAAGCTACGGTGTTCAGCTCCAGTCGTATCTACTATATGATCTGCTATACCATTACTGCAGTTTCGAAGATGCAAGCTATGTAAAACTCGATCCAATTAAGGAAAAAATAGTGAAGAGCCATATTCATTCAAAACCTCCACGAGCTGCGCGCGAGAGAAGTGTTACACATTGTTTGATCTTATATCGATTTTCTCGCAAAGTCTTCAACCATCCTCAACGAACAATCTCACACCAGAGGCTGGGTCCAACCAAGGTTAGTAGGCAGCGATTTAGCTAATGCTCTTCCTGAAAAATTGCTAAAAGGATTTTCTACGCACTAACCACACTGCGGAAGTGCCAAATATGGAAGCACGAAAAACCTAGAACTTGCATGAGGATTCAGAAACATTTATTTCAATAATAAACTCTGAAGAAACATATAGAATTGTGTAAATTGCGTAAACAAAATTTGCATTATTGAGAAAAATTGCTGTCACACCAGAGGTAATTTTTGCTTAAGAAGTTGCTGTGGAGCTCAACTTACTCCCCTGGAACACTTAGATGTAGGGGGAATTGGGGCAGTGGGTTCTTGAGACGAAACCATACTTGACAGATGGGTAAAGAGTCGTGAAGGCAGTGGCTCGTCCGAATTTTATCCAGTTTTCACCTTTTCGGAGCCTTCTCGCCATAAGGAACCCATATCTGCGCCTTTCAGCGCATGATGGGCTAAAATGAGTTTTTTCCGAAGCTTTCCAGGTCCGCATTAAGTAAAGCATACGCGTAAGTGGGCGGGGCCCGAAACGGGGGAGGCGGCACGCGGAAGACCACCGGCGTATTTTCACGTCTTTCACGCGCAGTCTAGAAAAGCCTCGGAAAAGCTACTTTTGCTATTTTCATGCGCTGAAAAGCCCAGATATGGATTCTTCACGAGAAGAATCCGTGAACGTGAAAAACTGGGAAACGAAATTCTGTCGAGATACTGCCTTCAAGGAATCGCTCCAATCTCATAGCTAAACGTCATTACAGAGATGCCCAGACTACGATCATTGTGAGAAAGGAGAACCGTGGCATCCAGATCTCTCCTACGTGAACATCCATCAGCTGCCTGCTTATATCAATCTGCAGTATTATCCGATGTACAGAACAGCTAAATAGCATCATGCACTATCATATTTGAGCTTCAAGCTGTGATAAATTGGCATTTTACCATTGTTTGTATTAATTCGTCAGATTTTGTTTGAGCCGTCTCTTCAAAATTTGTTCTAAAAGTTGTCTCCACTGCGCGGCAGGTTCCCAAACGAAAATGCAGAGAGCATATGTGAAGAAGATACGCAGACATCAGAACCGCGCCGCAGCCGTGGTCGCACCTCAAAAGTTTGTCTCTTAGACTCAATTTACAACCGAAGTAGTCAAAAGTTCAAATCCATCAGAACAAATGTGATATTTGTTTATATTTCATACCCTGGTATTGCTTTCCTTGTTAATCAGCAGATAAAGTTTTATTCACAATCACATACTAATTACATTTGTACGACGATTTGGTTCAACGGGGTACCTATTACTCTTGACGATATAAAGTTTGAAATAGATACAATGAGCGTACAAGAAACAAATTCAACTTCGTCACACTCACTGAAAGTTTCGAGGATATATGAAAACAGCCATTTTTGAGCACTCGTCTTATGGAATTATCGTATCGACGAAGTGGAGTTGGTTGTTAATCGACATTTACAGGTTGTGAAGTAAATGAGCACGGATTGCCGCAGTCATGAAAATAATATACAACATAGAGTATTTAGAAGTAACTTGAGTCGCAATACAATCACTGCAGCCAAAGCCAACTACATTTGCCCCACATGGTCAATATAGCGCTATAAAAAGAGTAATAGTTCGAGGTAAATAGAGAATTACAAGAATTCACAGAGTACTACGAATTACAGCCGACCCGAACACACATTTCACATTAGGATATTTTCTTTGAAGAGCAACTACCACAAAAGGAAGGCCACTAATTGCATCCTAATGCAATGAAAGTTGATCACAACACTCGAAAAACAAAAATAATCCCTAGATACAAATACTATTACATATCATCAGAAAGCAGGTAATGTTCGTCATTTACTAGCATTGATGCGAATCAAGTTGATGATAGAGAAAGTGATGAGAAAGAAATGCACACCATGATTAGTGGTCGATAAGATACATACACAAACTGTACTCCCTACTAACTATTTGGCAAATGATTTGCCTTCGGACCCATCTTGCTACGTACCAAAGTGCTCGGCGTACCTGGATGGGACGGGGGAGCGATGGAGCTAAACGAACTGCGGCACGACTCCAACGAAGCTACGGATCCCCTACAATTAAGATTATGAATCACATCAACTCTTTCTTCTTCAGAACAACCAAAACTGTAATCACCTGAAGTTAGCCGAATCCAGCAACTCATGGTAATACATCAGTTTACATTTGTGTGTATTTATGCTGAAGTCGAATGTTGTGTTGTGTTGTCCAGAAACCTAGACATATTTTCACATTATAAGAGGAATACAGGATGGAAATACTATCTTTACCTCCGGTATCCTCCACTGGAGAATGTAGGTGCCCGATCGTGAGCAAAAATGTGATCCCTAGAAGAGAAGATCTTGAGAAAAGCTTGATAAACTGTCAACCCATAACCAACAAAACCGGTTAGATGAGTTGAACTCCTATATCAGTTAGAAATCCGTATAACGATGATACGATACACGAACCAACTTTCAAGAATAAGGACTGTACTAACATTTGCCTAGTTATATATCAGATTATATGGAGATTACTTAAGAAAAAACGCTTGACGAGCATTTTTTCCTATAAAAAAGCAATATTTTGGCTCAGCCGATTTTCGAAAACGAGAGCCAAAATTGTTTGTGAGATTTGGGTGATATTCTAGGTTACTCAGGAGGTGACTTTAGAATTAAGAAAGAA